GAATAACGCAGCCAACAGACCACTGTTCCCCCCCCCCAGTCTTTAACTATAGACAGTTCACAGATCAGTCGGTACAGTCAGTCCCCATCTCCGTACATTTCCGACTGAGACACACACACACACTCGTGAGAACGGGCGACTTTATACACCGTGGTCACTCTTGTACGATTATTCAAACCTAACTGATCTGGATGGTGCGCGCTCAGAATGGCCTCGGCTGTTTGCCTCCGTGTGTTTGTCTCTCTCACTCTCTATCTATCCATTCTGGATTGTGCGCGTATTGGTATCTATAGTGTCGTTTCCGGACCCATCGATGCCACTCGAAAAATACGATTGATTTGTGGCGCGCCGATCTGGACCAACGAAGAATGGCACTGGACGCTCAAGGACATTGTGTGGAGTACCACACGAAGGCGTTTAAATTCACACGCACACACTAATCGCGGATGTCGGTATGACACTGGTGATGATGATGCGTGATTTATTATTTGGGTTCGGGGCAGTGACTCATATGGGGCCGGCTCCAATAATCTGTACGTCTATATACATATATAAATACGACCAGTCAGATAGATTAACCATCTTCATGTCCTGGTCATCGTTGTGCCGGTGGTTTTTTCCCGAGTTATGCTTTTTTCGGTCTGTCATATCGCGTGCAAGCTCGGGCCAAGGGTCTGATATATTGAACCGCGGGTATTTTGTGCACATGCCGCGCGCGATTTCGCATTGCAGTCTACAAGCCCGGTTGTTTTCCAAAACTCTCTCCCACCCGTGTCACCGCCTGAAATGACAAACCCGTCTCTGCCACCCACCCACGCGAAAATCTCAGCTTGTGGCTGTTTGCGTCCATTAGAAAATGCTTCTCCCACTCGTTCCGGTAGGACAGGAAGGCTTGATGATGACCTTTTGTTCGTGCTCCTTGTGGTTAGATGCTCTTGTGTTTCTACACGCATTTCTGTGCATCTGTATACTTTATGTGTATAACAGAAAATATCTTCTATTGAGCTTCCGAAACCGCAAAGTGAGCTCACGAAAGCAAACGGGGCCTTCGGTCCACGTTACCGTTCAGAGAGCTTGGATTTATCAAAATCGTCGACCCTCGATCGGTTTCCCGACCACATCCGATTCTCAGACATTTTCACCCAATTTTTAGTGTTGAAATTGTGAATGTTCAGTGACCTCGGTGGGATTCGAACCCATACACGGAAGCCGCTTACGTTTTTGTACAGTGCACGCCCAAATCTATAATGTGCTTAGGTAACTGAGCAGTTTGATTTTGCAATACATGTTGATTTTTCGTTTCACCCGTCCGGAAATGATATACCGGTTCATCGGTAATTTTACTCCTCACACTAGTCAGATTCCACAAAACCCAAGTCAAAATATCCGTTTTATCAAAGCTGACTCAAGCTACACTTCAATCTCTAGTCATGGTTCATTACGCATTGCTTCTGTAGTCGTGAAAACGTATCAACATGGGTCTCTTAGAATTTGACTATTCAGGGATCTTGGAAATACTAGTGCACTGGCATCTATGCTAAGGAAAAGTAGAATAAAGATACATTTAAGTATGATTCGTAATGTAGTTGATCATTCAGTTGAACTCTCCTCCTGTGTTAAATACTTGTCCGACTAATGGTTTCGTTGAACGATATCGAAACCACTCACTTCTGTGCTCCGGTTCGTGGGTACCGTCCTTCAGGAATCTCTCGATTCAACCAGTGTTTGAAAACTGTATTTTGTCAGCNCAAATGGGATGGGTTTGCCAGAAACACAGTATGCATTATGGTGATAAAATATACGTTTTCCTTTGTTCGGTGCCGTTCGCACAAGGCTTAGTCAACCCTGGAAAATCTCAGGCGAATATGGTTGGGCAACATCAATTTCGCCGGTCGAAACAACAATATGCCATTGGAAAGACCTCTAGAGCCATCCAGGCAATGTGATAAAGACGACAACTACCGATTGACTGATGTTTACCGAACGATGTCCCAATTCTTCCATCTTTTTTCCCTATCTGTTACAATTATGTTTTTTGCGTCCAGTACAATCGAAATGTGGAATCATGAGTCGATCGCGTTCAAGGCGTAACATTGTGTAACGACTCGTGTTCACTGTTGTCCATTGATCGGAGTTTCTTGTATGCCAAAATAATCTGAACGCTAATTCATTCGTACCATTACGAGTTCTCACATTTCCACTCCGATAGTGACCATCGCGTTACGCGGTTGCCTGTCTGAATCAGTCGTGGCAGAGTTGAGTGAATGTTGGTGCAACACTTGAGGCGATAG